GACTTTACTTTGCAAACTACGGAATTGATTGGGGAGTAATTGAATGAAACATCCCGCATTTATACTGCGAGCTTCATGAATTATAAAACATTTCATTATTATTCATGCCATTCATGTTCAATTGATAAGATTTTCCCGACATTGTGAATTCGTGGAATACTTTGCCGATGATAATGTAAATGCATGCTAAGGAGATTGCATATGAAGCTGAAAACTGGCGGAGGATACATAATATTGCCGGAAAGCCTACCATAAAGTCGTTTACATTACTAATTGAAATACATTCCGACAAATCACATTTCCAAGAATAATTCTATATGAGTGCGAAAATCATCACTTGGTGATGTTATGAATCAATTTCGTACATCTTCTTTATATGAATCAATATTTCTTTTGCATATTATTACAAATATTATACACATTCATTTGCAAATTTAATTAATTAGGCCTATAATTATAGGCTATGATTATAATTGTTGTTGTTGGTTTTTGCGAACTTCAAACGTTATATTTTTGTGTAGTTTCATTATAAATGTACACCGTGCCTTTTTGTACACGAAATCGCTTCCACACCACATCATACTTCCTAAGCGCCCACCAGCCAAATCGTTTTCCGTCTAAAATTGACGTATTTTCTATGCGTTAAAATGAAGTACATTTTACATTTTCGATTACGTTACAAGGAAATAATTCTAATAAAACAGTCAAAAGATTGAATGTAAATCGACCAGTTATTCAAATCGGCACAGTGCTTACATTGTAATGAAATTGTTCATAGCCGTAGCTTAATTGTCTGAGCTTAGAATCGAAATATCGATTTGCTAAAACTACTTCATTTATACAAATACTCATCAACTTGTTTTAAGTTCAACGTTACGAAAATGTAAGGAGGTATTCAATCTATTATATTCATCGATATAAATGAACGAGTAAACACAACCGATTTTTGTAATTGAGTCAAATGTCATTCATTTCAAATTGATAAGAAAATCGCGACTAAAATCCTATGAATAGCGTTCATTATTAAGTCTAATAATATACAATAATTAGTCGCATATCTATGGTTGTTTGAGATAGTGCTTTATTTTTCATTAGGTAAAATTCATCATCAAATGAATAAACTGATGACTTAACACTATAATTCTTTGATTTTTTTAATTCAAAATAAATAAACAACCAATACTTTCTTATCGGTTTATTGATCACAGTAGCGTCGTGTGATTAAATACATGTTTCCGTAGATTACACGCTAGGCAATAATATTTGGAATTATCACACATGATGAAGAGTTGTTGTGTTTTGATCGCTTTTATGTCTAGCAAACAGTTTCTTCCAAATCTGGGGATTTTTCGAGCCATCATTGACACCACATTCGATTTTGAGAATCAAACAAAATAAATTGTAAAGGTCAATCATTTGAATGGCTCGGATTCGTTTGCCTTTGGAAAATAGAGGTCCTTTTGCCAAGAAAAAAGCATTCATGTCGGGCTCGGCATTATCATAGCCATGTACTCCGTACCTACTTTCATTTGTAACTGAAATTCGAATGAGTATTAAATTTTAGAACTTTTTCAAAGGGAAAAAACTGGTAAAAATACGAAAACACTGGATCACTTACATGAAACGTTAAACTTCTTCCGATAATTTTGAGCTGCGATGACCATATCCTGGAATCCGTATCCACTGTCGGCTACAACAAGTATTGGTCCCATGCGTCTTCGATTGTGAGCATGCCATCGGGCAGGCAGATTATGCTCATTGTATACCTTGAAATGGCCATTTTGCTCAGCGCCTTTGGTTAAATTGGCAAATATCTCATGTTCCACGGCTAAATTGAACCAAGTGATAAATTTTGTCGTTACTTCTTGAAGGAAAAAGGTGGCATCTCTGCTTACTTAGATCCTTTGGCACAACTTGTAACACTGGCGTTGAACCATAGATATTGTAAGTATTGTTTGCCAAAAATACTGTGAAATCAATAAAATTTGACGGCGGCACACCAACCATTCCATGATCGGACAAATAAATAACATTGACACGATTTTGCAATTTGTGTTCAATCAATTTGTCCTCAATGTATCGAGTGAGATTATCTACTCTTGCTGCTGCATTCGTTATCTGTTGAAAGACAAGTGAATCAATTGCGAAACTTTATCGGATAATAATAAGAAAAAAAGAAAAACACGTGAAAACAAAGGTCGTACGTAATGTGAACTTTTTAATCACACCCATCACACATCAATAAATCAACATTGAGAAGGATTTGTATTGGCGGCAATATATTACAATGATGAGCTTACATGAATTGAGTTTGGTCCGTACATGTGCGATTGTTCATCGGGCTCTTCGATATACAACATGACCAGATTTGTTGGAGTTTGCTCGTGTGTAAACCAATTCATGATTGTATCGACTCGATCTTCAAATGGTATGCTTCCATTGTGTTCTTTTTGAAACGTACAGGATACTCCGTGGTATTCATAGCCACTTCCAGGCCATATGCAGCCAGAATGTCCACCTGCTTTCTCATTGGCGGACTAGAATCACAGAGAGATATTTTCATTTTTACTTCCTTTGAAAATGTCTAAAAAATTAAAACTCATGCTGCTTAAAAGACGAAACTTTCAGAATTGTTGCGTTGAAATTGTCGAAATATTACAAAGCAATTACAAAAAGTTTAAATGAATTTGTAAAAAACCTTATCCAGAACATACCCATATCGGTAATGTGCTTTCATTGTAATGGAACAGGTCAAAGCCATAATTTAAAAGTCCCCTCGTTGAATCATACACAGAATTCGCAAGTACTCCATGGTTTCCGGGATACAAACCCTGGAAATGTTTGAAGGTTAATTGGGTTAACACACTTGAATTCAATCACGAATATAGAAAATGTATGTCAATCGATGCGCATGAAAACAAGATTTGAAACAATAGTTGGACTTCAATTCAAATTGACTAAATGTTTAACTAATTAATAAATTTATATGAATAACTGAATAAATCAGATCGAATCGCGTCACTTACGGTGCCAATAGTAAAGTGATTGACAAACGTTTTCGTGGGAAAAACTGGGTACATATATCGCGCTGACGTTCCTTCCGATCGTAATTTCTTTAGAGTTGGTGTAACATTTCGATACAAGTAATCCGGTCGAAAACCATCATAGGAAACGATCAGCAATGCTGGTCCTGATTCAAATTCAGATTCAAATGATGCAGCTTCACATGATCCACGCAAAATATTTAAACATAATAATAAAACTACGCACGACACCGTCAACATCACAAACAAGTGTTTAACGCACACAATAGCTGAATCAAATGACGGCGCAACTGGGCAATCACCTACCTAATATTGCGAACAAAAAAACAACTCGAATCAATTATTTCCCCATGGGTAATCCACAGACTTTCAAACTCACATGCTACACTTTCATTATCTAAAGCAGCTTTTTTACACTTCAATCATGTGATATGATTGAAATTCTCGTGAGTCAAACGTTATTGAACAATAGCCACTTCATCATCACATGTATGAATTGACATGTGTGAACGATGATCATTTACGTTTTTCTCAGCAAAAAAAAATGAAATTCAGTTTAATTGCCATTTGTTTTAAATTTCAAAAAATCAATATATTTGCTTTAGATTAAATGAATAAAGAAACAAAGAAATGAAAATGCGCTTCGGATACTTTATTTGAATATTGTATACGAGAGATCAAGCAATTTCTTGGAAATAAGAAATTTATCGTGAATTCTGTTCCGCTTCATAGTCGAGAGCAACATTCACTTACGATATATTTTACAGAGAGCACTAAATGAACAAAAATAGCCTGTTATCACTGCGTTTGACTGTAAAGTGAGAAAACAAATGTTGTTCATGCGTACAGTCGCCGCAACGTTCACCAATCAAATGCCAAATTTATTCAAATTCGTTCGAATCAAAATTAATTTTATCATTCAGGAATGGGTGCGCATTGCCTTTTTAGTAAGAAGAATGAGCGTTTTTTAACTTAAAAAAACAGGCGAGACTTATGTAAAGGTTACATGTTGCCATTTTGATCAGTGAATCTTTTTTTTGCATGCAAAGTGTCCACCTGTGTGGAGTTGTTGCTGAAATAGCATTGCTGATGTCCAATCGTGTGTAAGAAAGTTTGTATTTACTTGCTTAGGCGCCGCCTGTAATTTTCAATTTTGCATTGATCAGAGAGAGAGAGAGAGGAAATGAAAATGTTACCGCGTCATCGAGTTCAACGTCTAAGATCGAATGATCGTCACAATGTTGACTCCCTCAAACAGCGTTAAACTTGTATTTCCAAACAGAAAAAGTTACACCATGGGAGATCTTTACTGATACTGGCCTGAATACGTATATTTTCGTATGTAAAAAAAACGAAATGTTGTTTGAGAATTGGCTCAGAATAAAATAATGAGCCATAATTAATATGCACGAATGGCGGGATGTCACATAAACATCTTCCATTCAAAAGTGTTAAAAAGGTGATGCAACTTCAGCTGACCGTATCGTCATATAGCAATGCGTTGCTTCTTTATTTATAAGAGAGGAGAAAAACTAATTAATAACAGAAAATAGTAATGTGGTAGAAATGCAAATAAGTTATTTGAAACAATATTTATTAACGTGTTTTTTTCTCGTCGATATATAGAAAAAAAACTTGATTTCTTCGGATTTGGCAGAGTTTTTGTCGCTACGAAAGTGACAAATGCATCATTGAAATATAAAAAAGACTCGATGTTATTGATCTCTTCGATGTTCTATGCACATGCTATCAAGCTATCACGTGAACAATTACTGTTTTGAAACGGATAATAAATAAATAAGCGGCCAATAACAGCTGTGATACGAAACCAAGTGGTTCAAAAGTCATAATGCTTCATGTTTTCGCTCAAACTCGTTTCTATCGGCTGAAAATTCAACTTAAACTAACGAAAGGAGAATGAAACAACAATTTGTTTTTTTTTTCATACTGATTTTGTTTTAAATCATGAATTTTTTCTTTAATCATTTCCAAATACAAAAATTGTCCATAAAATAAATTTTCGGTTTAGGTGATTAACAAAAATGCATATTCACGAAGTCATTCCGATCTTTGAATGGACCCCAATTTGAATTGTTTGTCTTATCCGATTTTTGGTTGTTTCTCGATGATGTTGAAGATGTTGACGACGATTTTGATGCCACCACCTGCTTTTGCAACGCAAAAAATCCATCACGCTTCGATTGCGAGTCTTTTCCATAACTGATACATGATGCATCGAAGTGATTTCCAAACTTTTCACCTTGAACCATTTTGTTGAATTTTTATTTTCCTTTTATTCCCGAATACCGCCAAGAAGATTATTAATGAAATTGAATTAAAATGCACTGTTAGAATCGATGGGGTAGCGCAATTTGGACGATTGATTCAAGGCACGTGCTGTATTTGTGTGAGTACTTGAAGCTCTAGATAATTGCCAGAGTTACCAGTTCGTGAACCTTTGCGTGATCCAAGATTTTTTCTCAACCTAGTGACGAAAGAGAAAGAACAAAATGTAATTTCAATGAATTTTTTTGTTTATTTTTATTATTTTAAATTCGGTGTGATTGAATAGTCTTTAGTGAACTATGGAAAGGTTGGTTTATGCTCAGCATTTTTCCCCAATTTTTTTTTTTCCATCAAACTCAAAATGACGATGTGTCGATAGAAAAAATTAAAACTTTTTTTTTATGTTTTTGTGCTAACACTTTATGAATTTCGTATTTTTTTTTTTTGCAAACAGAAGGTCACTTTTGGATAAGAAAAAAGGTTGAAAAATAGATATTTACCTTAAATTGGGTAGTACTTTATACTTGTCAATATTGCCGAATATCACTGACACCATTGACACCAAAATTTACTGTTCATTCCACGGTGAAAAAAAGAGACAAAATTTAACTTTTGGAATGTGCTGATTAGCCGAAGATTGTTTTTGAAGAAGAACTTTGCAATAGCTTGCAATATCCACGAAATTTCGAAAATGACTGACACTGATCTCAGCAGACGATGCTTTTATATGCTGACCGGTTCCCATCTCCACCGTTCGCTCGTTCGTTGTTTACGTCTTATTCAAATCAAAGTGAAACGAAAGATATGCACAGCAGTATGAGAACGTGACGATCGTCATGGTTTTTTTTCCATCTTAAATATTCATATCTAAGCTGGTATCAATAATCTATGACAATTTATTGGATCCAGAGCCTAGTTCATTGTGACATCAACTATCAACATGCGTCATGAGTCATAAGCGGCTCATCAAAAATTCGCCGGAAACATTTTAGGAGAAAACCAATTTGGGTTGTTTCCACAACATTTGACGACATCCTTCCGAATTTGGTTATGAGTTCCAACAAAACTAAGCTCTGAAAACTTGATTATAAAATCAAAAGCAAACCGTTTAGCCACCTGCTGAATACCTTTTAACATGACATCGAAAAATTCATTTTGAGTAAATACATAGAAGAATGGTAGAACAAAAGGAATGAAAAAAGAGACGAAATCGTATTTTTATTATTATTTATTCGAGAAGAGCGATACACTTTTACCACAAATAAAGGAATTCCTCTAATAAAACAAATCTTTGTATTTTAGTTTATACAAATTGTAAAGTTAAAAATAGGAATAAGTGTTGGTTGTATGGGTTTCTGTGAAAATAACGTTAAATTCTCACTACTGATCAAGGAGTAAAAATAAATCTACATCTCTTCTACAAGCGATTCAATTTTTATTATACAGCGCAATTTTGCTCATACAAGTATGCACACATTCACTGTTGTGATTCATGTTCATCTTGAATCCAAAGGTTTACAGCATTCCGTTTAGAATTAGCTGGTTGGTGATGAGAAAGGATGTGTGCAACTCAGTGAAAAAAAAACTGCTTGAACTTTCTATCCGTCAAGCGGGTTTTTTTTTGCAATGGAAATTTTCTCATTAAATAAAACACTTGCCACATCATCCTTCTCACCTTGAATTTATCGCAGAAATTTGCTTCTATGCAAATTGTGTGTTGCAAATTATTCCATCGGCTAGAATTTCATGAATATGCAATATAGAAAATCTTTGACACATTTGAAAACCAACCAAATGAAGCGGTTCAAAGCATATCATCGTTAAATCTAAGCGGAAAAAAATACATCGATATATAAAACCTATCGAAATTAAGATTGGTGCAGTTAATTCTCAAAAATAATGACCAACACTTTCGTTGAACATTTCTTTCCATTTCGTTCCATTTCTCTCTATCAATCATCTAGTCATTTTTTCTGTTTTGTTTTGTCCGAAATTATAAATTACATTACAATTAAGTTTAATGTTAAAATGGGAGTCAATCTATGTTGTCTTAATTATATTCAGTTAGATGCAGCTTGGGATTTTTTCCATGCGTAGTACATTTCCATCGGCTTGTTAACCTGTTGCGAAATGAAAGAAAAGGAATTGAATACAGTTAGTAAACCACTCAAAAGAATAGAAAACAGATGAAACATGATATAAATCTACACAAATGATTCATTCGTCATGTAGTTTACCTTCCAAATCTTCTCGTTAACTTGCTGAAGTGTTTGATTTCCGTTTAGAATGAGAAACTGGCCGGGCTGTGGAGCAATGTAAATACAAAAGTTCTGCAATCGTTCCGTAGCTGGCAATTCAGAATCAAGGTCAAGTGTGAGCCGCATGGCCAAATATTTGCTCAGATGCTCGACTACAAAGTAAAGAAACACATTGAATATTTTCATTAATATTACCAATTTGATTAATTATTTTGTTTAGTTTTGGGAAATTTCAAAAACAAAGTTAACGAAAAATCTTTGAATTTACGACTAAATCAACTGATTAAGAAAATTCACCGAGCACTAAATAAAATCAAAATCAAAAACACCGAAAAATCTACACAGCCAAAAAGCGATTCGTGTCATTTTTTTAAATTACCTGAAGCATTAGCCGTTGTTTTGAGATATCGTACAGAATTCTCTTTGAGTGCCTTAATTAAATTTTCGCCGGTCATTTCGTTTGGATGTGGTCTGAATATGAGTTCAATTTCATCGCTAACACCCAACTCCGATGTGCCTTCACCTTCTGTGTCCAAATTCGAATCGTTTCCATGGCTGTAATCAATTTCGCTGTTACTCTCAGATTCTTCGGATCGTTCGGATGCTGTCAAAATGGAGCGTGCACGTTTGATTTTACTGCCAGTGCCGCAGCTGCTAATGTTAGATGGTACGGGTGATGGTGTTGATCGAACCGACGGTGGATTCGATGCAAATCGTTGATTTGTCGATCCGGCTGCTGTTGATGAACTTTCGTCGGCATTTTGATTCGTCGAACCAGCGTTCGAATTTTCTGCATTGCGCGCTTCAGCTTCCAATTGTTTCTTTGTACGTTGTTGCCGATGTTGTGATTGCAATTTAATACCTTCGGTAATCGAATTCACTAAAGCCGTCCGTGATTGGCTCTGATTGAATTTTGCCAAAACTCGTTCTTGATGCGCTTCGTATTCATCGCGGCTGGGGTAAATTTTCGAAATGAGCAAATCAAAATTGGGATCTGGTCGAAGTGAGCGTTTGGAAACGAGTTTTTTACGACATGTTGGACATTCTTTGTTTCCCGATCGCAGTGCCGTAATGATGCAGTCCGAACAAAAGCGATGTAAACACTCTTTGGTCGTCATGGTCTTTTTCAGCATATCCAAACAAATCGGGCACATCAGTTCACTATGCAAACTACGTGGTGACACCGCAATTTCGGTATTATCGGTGATTGCCTCTTGTGGCTGCCGATTCAATTCGTACAACGATAAATCCCATGTTTTATTTTGCAATGATTCAATCGAAGCCATTTTGCACGAACAAAAACCAATCTGGCTCACTTTCCAAATGACATTAAATGTTTACGTATCGAACGAGAGAAAAAAACACTCAATTGCTTTTTGCATCAACGATTGACGAATGGCTGTGGTTCTTTTGTTTCTTCTGGCCAACACACACCGTTTTTTCTTTGCTTTAATACACTTTCCCACTTGAAATCACCATTTAATCTATGATTGACACGGAAAACAAACGATTCCGGTGCAAAAGATTTGGAAAACAGGTCAAACGACGATGTTTCCTTTTGCCTAAAGACACAAAAATAATGCACAATGAATGCTGTGTGCGTGGTTTGTCTAAATGTTTTCTGTAGCTGTCACTTGCGGTGTATAGCTTGTTTTCATTATCTCCACTTTTCGACGCAGCGGTTCATGTATGTTTTGTACCGGTTCGCAGCGACTGTCAAATGCTTCAGTGTGTGTGGATAGCGCCATTTTTAAACTGTTCATTTTCGCTGATTCGGCACATTTTCAAATGCTCCTTCCACACTGAATGTGTTCAGTCGCACGCGGATTTCCTTTGAGTACACACATTTCATGGATCAAGTTGAATTCTCGTTCAAATGATTTTTAAACGTTCATTTTAATTAAATTCGAATAAATAATACACAAGTGTCTGAAAAAAGTGATGTAAACCATGGAATTGAATAGAAAAATTCAAATCGAAATTTGCAACATCGAGGACTCGCAGATGTTTTGGTTCCGTGCAGCGTCCGATGTGGAAAAAATTCAATCGCGTTTGGAAAAATATTTAGAAAAATGTGATAAGAAACAAAATTACGCACCGAAAATTGGCGACATAGCCATTGTGAATGTGTACAATGAATATTTCATTGTCCGCGTTAAAACAACTGTTGTTTCGAATCTAGTGAAAGTGTCTATTCTTCAAAATGGCCATAAAGTTTGGGTCAAACCCGAGAATATTATTGAACTGAAAGATCAGTCATTGGTTAATCTGGTGCTCGTTTCAACTCTCCTACGGGGATCAGTAACTGGTGTTCGACCCGCAGAATCCGTATGAAAAATTTAATTTTTCTGATTTTCAAGAATTTTCTTCAATTCTATTGAATTGTGATTAAAAAAAATTTCATCGTCTGCATATGATCGTCAAGTTGCATTTGTTTGAGCATTTTTTTTCTCGCATAAGTCGCATAAAATCTGTGTATTTATGGGTTTCTGCAATTCAAAGAAAGCGTTTCTGCCTGTTGATTGCTATGTTAACGGCGTATGAAATAAACAGTGTGATATATGACACCACGAGTTTAGTTCGTGATTGTTGTTTGCACCGCTGTGTGTGTGTGAGAGAGTTGAAATGAAAGTGAAAACCATGCGACTACAAACAACGCAGTAAAAAGGATTTGAACATAATTAACATTGCACGGAATGTTTGGCTGTAGCATTGTTTACACTTCATGTTGTTTATTCAGTTTTATTCGCTCTCACTCACATGGGTCATGCGGCATAACTTTAGGAGTTTTTTTTTTCTATCGAATTCTTTCATCATTTTTTTTCTATCGAATTTGACTTGCTCGAATAATCTTATTTTCTGTCATTCCCGCTAATTTCAGATATTGATCAATAGTAGTCCTAAAACCGTGAAAACTCCGAAGTGGTCATCACAAAGCATTCAGATGCTCAAAGATTACATCAAATTATCGGCTGTGGTGTATTTTCAAGCCACCGAAGAGATTGACAAAATGCACTTTGGTGGAATATTAACATTTGAAGTGGATTTTTCAAAATCGCTGATCACTGCGAAACTAGCCATACGTAAGTCTTTCTATCGCATTTTATTGGATCTTTGCGTAAATTGTTGAGTGACAATATTCAAAATTGGTTCACAGCTAAAGGAGGTATTGATGATGAAGTTGATGGAATTGAACCCGACTTCTTGCTTGGAAAAGGTAAATTTTTGTGTTGGCTAAATAAAATGGCGCATTATGCTGAATATTCCATTTTCAATCATAGATGTGTCAGATGACAATAGTGATACCCATCCGATTATCAGTAGCAACAGAGGGAGTACACCGAAAGGTAAATTTGCATTTCAAGTGGAAATTCGGAGAATAAACAGTTTGAAAACTAATACGTATGATTCAATTAGATTCCAATTCATTGGACAAATCCGACTCATCTTCACTGGAAAAATCAGATTCATCGTCATGGGCCAATGAAATTGAAGAGTTAAGCGAACAGTCCGAGTTATCGAATGGCTCTAGTGACGTGACACAGCCGAGTGAAGAATACAGTGAATCGATAATCGTGAATGAAGAAATTGAAGAAATGGAACAATTGAACCGTCTATTGTTGAATGTGAAATTATCACCAATAATGGAACACAGCCGAGAGGACGGTATACACGATTGGAAAATGTCATCCAAATTCAAAATAAGCACATATTTTTGTTTTCATATTCAACAGATGAACTGACAATGACATCGTGTGTTGATAGCTGTGATGTGAATTCGTATTTGTACGAAAATAGTGAAACTGAAGATGAACCCGAACAATATGAATATGAATGGTCACAGAGAATCGAAAAAGAAAGGTCAATCAATGCGGAAAATAATCTAAAAAGTGTGATGATCGAACATTTACTACGAAATGCGACTCTATCAGAGCAAGAGCCATATGTGTACAGCGAACAGAAGAATGATCCGGATAAGAATTTGCCATACTCCGCGTCATATAGCAAAGCTTTGAAACGCCTCAACAAAGAGTATCCAGTACAAGGAATTATTTGGCCATACCTTAAATCTGGACGATCGTCGATTCTAATCGGAAATACCGATTTTTATCCACATTTACTCTACTTGCCGCCAATTTTCAATTTGGTTAAGGTAACTTCTTAAGCTCTTCGATGACTTGAACATAAATGAGCCATCATTGATTTCATCCATACATTTTATTTTCATTTCAAGATGTTGGAAGACCTCACCAAACCAAAAATCAAAGGACCAAATGTGGTTATTTTTGCATCGAACTGCCAAGAGGCCAAGGAAATTCGACAAATTTGCTCCTGTTTTCTCAAAGAGGATTCCGTATATACTGATGCCGAAGACTATTCAATGGCATTCAATGTGAGTGATTATTTTATTAATATAATCAAAATTTACATGCAAATTTAGGACAAAAACCATGTTTATTCAAATCGATTTACTCAATTTAACTTCATTTGCGATGAATCGACTCAATTTACATTTTTTGCTTGCAAACAGGAAAGAAAGTACGAAAGATGTGACATTTACGTATCGTTAATGAGTCGTATCAGTCATGATCCCGAAAACATTCCCAAATCCACACAACGGATTATTTTGAACAATTTTGATTCCATATCAAGCGAAAAGCGCCAAAGAATTGTCAGCTCAGTGCTAAGTCTGGATGTTAACGTAGGTTCTCATTCAACAAGGAGTAGCCAACATTTCGTTTCATTATTTTACCCTACTTTCAGGTGGTTGTTACATCTCGACACTACGTTGAGGAGTTACGAATGTTATTCGATCAAATTCCAAATGTGTTCGTGTCAATCGAATCATACTTTGACCTCTACTATTTTTCGTCGAAGAAGAAAGGTTCTCGTGTCACTGAGATTCGAATTTTCGACTCGGATTCAAAGGACAAACAATTGTTGAAACTTACAGGTAAGCGTTTATCGACAAAAATCTTCAATGAAACAATCATTTCTTAGGGAGAAATTAACTATACAGAAAAAAATTTAATTTCAGATAAAATTTCGTTTTTAAAACCACATAAAGTCGTCATCGCATGCTCCAGCGCTGAAAAAGCCGAAAATTTAGCGAAAATACTATGGTCTGATTACGCTATTGAAACAATTCTGAACCAAAGTATGTGTCTGATCACAATGAAGAAGTAGATCATGAAATAATTTTTGTTTTCAAATTTTAGAACCTTTTGGAGGCGCACCAAAAGTCTTGATCTGCTCTGATGATCAACTCGTAAAATTTGACGTAAGAAATGCTAATCACATCATTCACTATGATCTGCCGGAAAATTTCGAGACTTTTTGTCGTCGCTATTCGGTGTTGCGGTCGTATTTAGACTTTGAGGTATTTTCTTTATTTTTTCCCGATTTTTCTCTTGAATTTGGTTCATAATGTTGAGTTTTTTTTTCGTCTTCAACCATACAGTCCACAAGTACAGTGAAACCAGTGTCATTTATTATGGAGACTTTGGATTACGAATTCGATAAGAAAGTGCGGTTGCTCTTAGTCATGCTATTCCGTGAATATGGTTATACTATCACGCCGCCAAAATATAAAAAGGTTCTTCTGGTGAGTTTACATCGAATCCATTCACTTTATGATTATTTACTTGTGCCAGACGTAAAGCGATCCCATGTTCATAACCAAGAAAAATATTTTTTTTTTCATTCGTATAGGACAAACTTCGTCGAATGCACTTAGATGCCCCGTTGTGTTTGAATATTACAACCGCGTACACAGATGTGGGTCATTTGATCGATTGCGAAAATAGGCATTGCTTTGACGACTATGCCAAATATGGTGAATCGGTATTTCAAGAGCCGAGAACAAGCCAAGTTCAAATACTTGAAGTATTTTCACCGGTGTGCTTCTCCGTTCGAATTTTGAAATCTAGAGGCACCGAAACAAACGAGTGGCAACAACACTTTTCACCAGATGCATTCCGCCAATTCAACAAAGAATTCACCAAACTCTACGCAAACGACTTTGCACCCGTCTATGATTCGAGTAAGCTAAACGACAATGCATTGTATGTACTGCGAGATGGCAATGAGTTTTACCGCTGTCGCATCTTGACCAAGAGGTGAGTCAAACACACAATCCATGCGTTGTTTTTCTATTCTTTTTTGGGTTTTCTTTTCGACTTACTGAAAATGACTGACTAAAGTGCATTTTTCATGACGAAAAAAAAAATCAATCAGAAACTTCATTCTCCCAAAGAAACAGTTCTTTGAAAGAAATTTTCTTTCTTTTTTTGCATTTCATTCCATTCTCTTCCGTTTTGCTCACATTTCAGCAACAATGGAACGCAATTGCGAGTACGTCTCGTCGACTTTGGAAAATACTGCGACGCAAATGTGTCAAACATTGGTATTATGCAATTGAATCATACGCAATTTCCGCCTCAATCGTCAGACTTGTGTTTATTGAATGTGGTCCCATGGAACAAATCACGGTGGGAAGATTACGATACATCTTATGCATTGAATACACTGTTCAGTTGGAATGAATTGGGAACGCTTGGCATATTTGAAACGATCATTCTGTGGGGAGTGCAGCCCGAAATAATGTTCGCATTGAATCTATTTGTGCCCGACGACGGTAACTACGTGGATATTATCACACAAAAAGGGATTGCCGCCATCAAAAATAATATCGAAGATTTTGAAGATTTTTTCCAACATGCCATACAACAAAAAATCCTCACTGTCGACCAACGCAACAATATCCAACAATCTTTACAATAAGTTTTAAAGTTATTGTCAAAAAACTTTACCATAAGTTTAGCATACATTGTATGTGTGGGTTTTTAACGAAAAACTTTTCGAATAACCACAAATAAAGCTTGCATGCTTCTCTTTATGTCAGTTAGTAATTATACGAAAATGTAACTCTAGTTAACCCTAAGATCGTGTTTGAGGTCCTCAGCGCAATGTTCAACTAAAAAACGCATAAATTATAATCAAACTTTTCATGAAAAATTCGCATTTTTGCAAAAAAAATTGCTTTTTTCACGTAATTGATAACGAAATGGGATCTTTAGGAATATTGCACTACTTTATCTACCATATAATTACGCTGAAGACAGATATTTCTTATCTCTTATCAGTCTTCGTACAAAATACATTACTGGCGTTCAGAGCCTCAAAACACGGAAATAGGTTGGCTACACTATACACAATCATAGGGTTAAGTGAGCGAGTGAGTGCATAACGTAAAACGTATGAAGATGAATGCAACAAAAACGTGTGCATTGAAACAATCGATTTGATTCAATGCAAAGCATCTTTGCGCTTATAACATGAGGAAATTGTAAGTTGAAAAGAATGAGAGCAAAAAAAACACAATGTGGAAAATGCAGTACACAAATAAAAATTACTATATTTTACGTTTCTTATATAAAATGTATTTTGGTTTTATGTAAGAATTTTCCCGCATTGTGATAAGGTTGCAGCGAGTGTGATGAGTGCCAAAAAATACAAATAGCACAAACAACAAACAGAGTAGGTACAATATTCTCTGTGCACATGGAACAAAACAATGAAACGTTTGAAGTCGATTGAAGCAGAAACAATGAGCACGAGAGACGGCTGCAGTCTAAATCTCAGAACGATTCAGAAAAGGTCAAATGGAAAGAATCAATATACACACAAAGACATTATGAGCACAGAAGACAATGAGCATTGAGCAGCTCGCCAGCTCTGTGACTCATTTGGAGATTGAGCAACGTTGCGCCTGTGGACAAAGCGAATGGACAAAGAGCAATCGAAACATATTGGCAGTAGAGCAAACTGGGAATAAGGCAGCATCCCATCACATGAATACAAACCGAGAAAGAAACAACTGAAATGTACACAATCCTCTATCCAGTTTCCATAAAAAGTAACGTTTGCGCTGAACGAGAAATAGACAAAAGCAAAATGACTTTGTGGCGCCAAAATTATATCTCTTGTACCAAATGTCTACGACTTGAAGATGGAAGTTGTTGGTGTTGTTGTTTGTGTTGGAAACCAGATAGAGAACGGGAGAGAGAGAGAGAGAGAGAGCGAACGAATGGTGAAAAATGATGGGCGAATTAAGTCGTTTCAATAAATAAAACCACACACTGTGGTTTGATATAGGCATTGTCAGGCGATACACATAAAATTCGAACCTTCCCTCCTTTTAATTAAATGGTGTGATAAAAACAAAGACAATCAAAATGTAATGAATGTGTGTATCGCTAACCAAAAGTCAGACAAGAAAAACAACAACAGCAGCAAACAACAACCCAAAGACCATTGGCAACAAAAGCGAAATCATTATTATGATATGTACTTATATGGATTCATTTGTGTGCCGCTGCCGCGACTCTTCTCAGTCTCTCGAAGCGTGAAATTGCAATCAGTGCATTGCAAATTCTTACGTAATGAAACCCATATGGGTAGCAAAGGCCTGCATAACATCTATTGCTGCTGCTGCTGCTGCTCTTCGTTTGTCGATTGAGCGTGAGTTGGTGGATTGCATAGAGCGCGAATGAGTATCATCATTTGAATGCTGCTCATCAGGTATACGAAGAGCAGTGAGAGAGTCGAGTGGAAAATGAGAACCAAATGTAGACAGAGAGAGAGAGGGGGAGAGCGCAAAAGAGAGAAAATGAGAGCGCACCATATGAAGACATTATCAATTCACATTGTGGCAGCCTAATAATCCAGTGTGAAAATGTGTTATGGGTGTGCCATGGCATTGTGTGTGCGCGCTCTGTTTGTTTGTGTTTCATTTCTCTTGGAATGAAACATCGAACGAACTGAAAGGGAAAGAAGACGACGGAAAAAACTCCTGGGTTTTTTTATGCTGTCGATTCCAATGGATTGTCGGGTTCTCTGCTCGATGCTCGATTTTTTCTTTGTGTCTTTTTCCCACTGGCAGCAGCAGCAGCAGCAGCAGAAGCGACGCATTGGCACAGACCATATGCATGTCAATCTCTAACACCATTTCAAATATGCACACATGCGCACGTTCAGCCGTACACGGCACGCTGAGCACATTTAGGAAGGAAAAAACAGAATTCATTCGAAATATCATCAACAACAACAGCAGCAGCCAGCCATAGAGCAACCAAAATCGTGAGATTTCTAAAAAACAATTACATGCAAATGCGAAACTAAATTGCTCACATTTAAAAAAAAAAGATAATTGTTTTGTATAGTCAAGGAAGCCCGCACAGAACGATGTTAAGTTGGGCCTCTTTTAAAAAAGTTAAGTTAATTTTATTATATTACATTTGTAATCCCACGCTGAACATTTGGCCCGAGAGATCGGAGTCAGTTGCTATTTGAACGCAGCGCATACACGCAGTGCATACACAAGGGGAAGTGTGCATGAGAACCACTGTCACGGATTGCTAGCTCTACGTTAATATTTAGAATGGCTGAACAAAAACGAAAGAATGAAAACGAAGAGCGCGACTGATATACAAACAGAACCAACACAAGCGCACTTCGACATGAGATGCGTTCTCTCTTTTCCGAGGCCTCAAATTGTTCACCAATACACGCACACACGGAGAGAGAGAGAAAGAGAGGCGAATATACACGCGCTCAAAAGATAGGATCTCCATGGAATCCGTATCGCATGCAACACACAAGACACATCGCTATGCTGTCCATCCATACACACATACATGCGCAACTGTGCATAGAATATGCTTCTACTGCTGCTGCTTCTGCTTCACGTTCTAGAACTCACAAGGCAGCACTTAGTATTCTGTTCTGAGCGCGTCCGCATGTATTGAACGCATTTCATTCTCCGCATTTTGGCTTCCTTTTTTTCTCTCCATACATTTGTGTTTGTTTGAGAAGTCGTACTACTAATTCTCTCAATGCGTTCGCCAAAATTTTTTATCGAGCTCGTGAAATATCGCACCGAACGGGAGTGAGATCTCCGTTTGAAAACTTTTTTGAAGCCTTGCGAACGAGCGGGACAGATATATAGAGAGAGAGAACGGAAGAGCAGAAGAGTTTTAGTGGTGAGTGATTTTTGTGCAAGAGCATAAAATTCAATGGAATCAGCACAGAGCGCGCGTTTGTAATAAATAGAGATAATTTGGTTTTAGCAGAGAAAGAGAGCACATCGCGTGTGTAATCAATATAGGAGAAAAACCAGCCACCAAATCAATTTTATGTGTGAGTGTGTGTGTGTGTGTATATGTGTAATATATTCCACGGACGAAGAGAGCCGAGAGTAGATTGTGAAAAAAAGGAACAAGAGTAGGAAAAGCATTAAGCAGAGAGTGATTGTGCGAGAGAAGAGAACGAGAGAGAAGGAGAGAGAAAAGCAAGCATAATCACACATCAAATAGAATCTCATCTAACGGAGTACGTGCAGTGTGTACTACAGTTGCTGTTTTTTCGCCCAAACGTTCGTAGGTCAAAGAGGCACGGATTCGTGGTCCTTTTTTACCAAAAACGCAAATCATCATTCTGGGCATTAGGAGTGAGAGAGATTTGGAAATCTTCTAATTGGTGTGTGTATTATTTAACAAAGAAACGAAAAAAAGAAACTTTTTTCAAGAGAAATTTTCGTGTTTTTGGGTTATTGTGTGTTTCACTTATGGAAATTGTGTGCTAAAAATTTTTGTGCGTTCCATAAAACAGAGACCCAAATTCTCATCGTGAGCATCTCACATTATGTGTTTTATGTGTAAAGAGAGAGAGAGAGAGAGAGAGAGAGAGAGAAATGAAAAGAAAACACACATTTTTCATTCTAATCGCATCGCAGTAACAGCAATAAGCAACAACAATACCAGTAATAATTATCATTCAAAAAGTGATCTCGGCAAGCAATTCACTAAAATAAACGTTAATAAATTTGAATTATATGACCACATGAAATAAAAGCAACAAAAAAAACGGCGAGAGAGAAAGAAAGAAGGCAAAAAAAATCGTCAACAACAACAAAACCAATTAACACGCGAAAAAACTTATAGCACGCACATAATGTATATTCGCTACTCTTCCCTCTAAGTGAATGAGTTTTATTTATTATTCTGTGAGTGTGTGGTTTTTGTTGTACGCTGCGTTTTTTTTCTCTTTGTCTTTCTACTCTCTCACTTTGTACATTCAGCACTCACCAGCGCTAGTTATTCAATTTGAATATTATCATCAGCTCCTATGTAAATTCACAATTTGCTGATATTCATTGCTATTGCTGCTGTTGTCGTTGCTGTTGTTGGCTTTTTGCATTTGCCTGGCATTTCGGTGGTCTATTCAGTTGCTGTTGAAAAAAGTGTACAGTTTTACGGGCGTTTTTGGTCTGAGGAAAACGGTTGGTCGTTTGTATGTACAATGTACAACATTTAATGCGATTGATCGTTCCTCATTCATTTTGCATCGGTCGGTGCTGCTGCTGCCGCCGCTTTGATAGAGCCTATTTTAAATTCGGACGGGGGGCTCACTTGTGTCTCTTTTATATACTTTTTCCTGTTATTTTCAGTGTTAACCGAAAACCATTGTGTGCAAACACGGTGCAGACTGAAGCATACACATAAGTATATGTGGCATTGCAAATTGTATGTGACTCGATAGCGCGCGCGGTTGTTTCTGACCAAACAACTAACCGTGTTGGAATACACCTAATTGCCATAGATTTGAATTGAGCAACGATTTAGTTGATTTGCTGTTGTTGCTGCTGCAACAGCACTTGATAAATTGAGGTAGAGAAAATAAAATACACATATATGAACGAAAAAAAAACGAAGTAAAAACGAGAATCCAGAAGCGGCACAGAACACAGATAGAGAGAGAAATAACAAATAAAAATTAATAAAAACAAATAAATTTCAACAAAATTGGAGCACGTCACATTTGGTCGTTGGCGATGTACATCTGAATTTATTGTGGACACCCGTTTGTTAGCTGAAGTGAGGTTGTTTTTTCTCTCCTAGTTAAGTTTTAGATTCGAAATCGACAGTTGAACAAAAAATAGAAGAAAATCGACCCAAAAAAATAAAATCGAAAAAGACAAATCGAGTGGATAGATTTGTTTGTTTTTTGCCATTAGTGTGGCATAGTGAGTGAGTGTCTCCGATTTGAATACAGAGATAAAAGTGCATTTTGTGTTTGACTACCACGCGATCCAGATATTAGGCGAATAGTCACATTTTGAACGCATTCAATTCATTTTTGTTAAGTGATTTTTTTTATATTCAAATTTTTTTAGCCATAAATTCTCGAGTTTCAACTACACTACGCAAGGCGTTGATCGATTTGGATAGAAAAACTGAAAAGAAAACGAACTAAAGAAAGAAGCGAAAATAAGAACGAATTGAAAAAAATAGAGTCGAAAAAGATGGGTTTGTCCGGATGCTGTTGCTTGGTCAAATATCTTTTGATCTTGATAAACTTCGTGTTTTGGGTGAGTAATTTGTTCATTGTCCAATTATACAGAGTGTGTGTGTGTGTGTTTTCTTTTTTGTTTGAATACATGATTGAGCATAGACTTTTCCATCGAACAGCTTAGATATACTCGGTTTACGTTAAAATACGAGTAAAAATGACATTTTAAATATCGAACTCGAGCATAAAATGGGGGGAGAACCAAATATGTGTCTAAACATTGGTAATTTTCATGTAAATGCACGACTTCAGCTCGAAGCCATTCGTTCTAAATGCACAATGCCCGCTTTAAACAAATGGTGTACATGTGTTTTAAATACAGATTATAGCAAAGGCAGCAACAACAACAAAATGATGACGACGACGATGTCGACGTCGACGATGATGAAAGGCAATAGCCAGAGCCAGAGTAGCGTCGAGATGTTGAATATGTGTGAAAAATGTGTGCTTCACAATTAAAATCACATTCAGGAAAAAGATGGGTGCTGTGTAATGTTTCGTTCTTTCGTTCGTTCTGTGTCGATGTGTCGATGCTTCATGTAAAAATGTGGATTGAAACCGAATGAGAAATGTGCGCGCACTATGACGAAAATAATCACATTCGCCATTCACGAGTGTCCGCTGCTACTGACGCCGCCACCGCCGCTGTCGTTGCTACTTCTCATTCACAGAAAAATTGTTCATAATTTCACATCGACTCTCGAGACTCTTCCTTGTGGCAATCATCGTTCGCACGAGAGACGAATGTGTGATGCGCGCCTCTTGAATTCCGTTTTGTTGTCGCTCGCTGTCTCTCAAGAGAACCGTTTGTTTTGGATCGGGCCGCTGTTGTTCAAGAGAATGAGCTAAGTTACGTTGTATGCATGTGCATGTTTAAAAATAATCCGAATTCAGTCATACAGAACGAATGAAAAAGAAAACAACTCAAACGATCGAGAGAAAAGAAAAGAAAAACAGAAAGGCTAAACAAAAAACTGAACGGAATCATAAACGTTTGTGGCCGATCAACTACTCACATATGAATAAACGTTTGATAGAATACGTAAGAAAGTAAAACATGAGACTGACACTGAATCAGTGGCATGATAATCAGTCGGAAGATCGCGTTGCTCCTTTCGTCTTTTCTCTTTTTGGAAATTTATTATTTATTCAAAGGAGAAAGAAAAAAAAACGTTTAAAAGCAAAATGACGAATGAGAAGAGAGAAAAAAAGACAGTCATCCAACACAATCAATCTGTAAAAGGAATGGAAACGATATCACATGAAAGGCAAACCATAAATAAGTAAACAAATTTAAGTAACAATAACAACGACCGATGACGACGCGTGCAAAAGGAATATGAATAATAAGAGAAAATAAAAATGAGCCTAAGACGAATGAACGAACGAAAAAAAAGTGTTTCAGAAGGAAGTCGAGAGCGTGAGAGAATGAAGAAAAAAAAATCGGTTGGTGTAACCATACAAAAACCACACTTGCATATATTTATATATACTGTTTAGCCGCCCGAGCACAACACTCACGCCGTGTTATATGACGTCGATTGATTTTGATGGCGTATGCGTTTTCGTGCGTGGTTTAATGTGATATATCCCGATTTTAACTGAATGTATAAAGTTCTGTCGTTTACTTTTTGGGTGTGTTCACTCGTGAATTGAATTACATTTTCGCTTCTCTTTAAGGGTGAAATGACATTTAACTCAACGCAACGTCATTTCAAGCCAATTTCACCGTGTACCACATATAATGGCTCTCTCTACCGTTTTTCGTTCGAAATTCTTCCCTCCCAACAACGAAAAAAAAACAGCAGTCAGCCACAAGAAGTGCGGTCAATGTTCCAAGCAAATTTTCCCAAACACACAAACATTTCATCATATCTCATGCTGACATTTACTTAACGCAAATCATAGGCGCTTATATTTAAAGTTCAAAATCAAACATAGTTTCATCGATGAAGAAGCGGAGAATTTTTCGCTAGTGATTTTCCAATAGCAACTGATCAATATCACGAGCAAGCGCGTACGGTGCGGAGCACTGATTGCTGTTGTCAAGCAACAACGATGACGAATTTAATGCATTCCCATGGAAAAGAGGACGCACACGAAACAGAAAACTTAACTATAGCTATATACTATAAGAGCTAATGGAGTTGTAATTTGAAATTCGTTTAGTGAGTAAATCATCGTATCACATTGACTTTTATGCGTGTGAGAAGAGCCAAATTACATTCGTTTGCGATTAGAAGCTTATCTAAATGTAACATTTGCGTGGTTACGAATTTTCCGTATCTTCGCTTTGATTTTCATTTTCGATCCAGTTTTTCTTTTCCTGCTGCTTTTGCTGTTGGTATTGCCATTAAATACCACGGTTGCATTATTCCTCGTTGCTCGTTTGTCTTCAATCCCCGTACACTGATTTCGTATCACATACACTCACAATATGAACTACTCTCACTGAGTTGCTCTCTCCTTCTGTCTCACTTGCTCTCTCACTCACTCACTCACTCCTAGTCATGGTTTGGCTCTCTAGCGCGCTGTCTCAGCGCTTTTTCGCGTCACTCAACATTTCTCCAATTTTCTCTCATGAATATGTTGTACGTGATGTTTTCATCCTTGCTGAAGCGCCTATCAACCATTCTTTTTTCTTCTTCTTCTTCGTCGTCTTCATTTTGAAGTTTCAACACACTCAAGACACACGGACACAAAATACTCGGTTTGTGTGTCTGTGTGTGAAGGGAAAATATCATAAAAAATCTACAGTACCCAAGAAAGAATATTGTGCTCATTTTTTCCAAACGCAATAGTCGAGAGTTCTGAGTTTAATGTACTGAACATGCTCTTTTATGTTGTCGATGCCCAAGGCTCTCTCTTTCTCTCTCTCACATCGGGCGCTTGATTTCAACTGCAATTGATACGATGGAATTTTATGACACTTTCTCTGATATCAAACAGCACAGAAATGGTGATAAGCGCACATCGTGCGGACAACGACAACGACGATAGAAATGTCCATGACTTTTACCTTTTTTTTTTTATCGACGACGCTTGCTTTCACAAAACATTTTCTTTTTAATTAAATATGCGCATGAATGGGTTTGAGTTGTCAAATCAAATAAATCCAATATGTTTGGATGTTTGATTTTCCACCGCCGCTGTTTTATCTTCCATCGTTCGCTTCTTGTCTCACTCACACTCGAACTATATCCATCTAATGTCCTTTCACTCGTTCTGTTTTTGTCTGTCTAAGTGTATTTGTGTGCTTTCACGTTTCATTTTTTTCCTGTTCATTTGGTGACATCAACCAACGAGTCATTTCGTGTTCAGTCGCTATCAGATCGCGTATCTATGCTTTCTATGCGCATACATTCTCTATTCAGGAAGTAACGTGTTTGATTGTTCAATGTTGTTTCGTAGAATTCCGACCATTTCGATGTTCTTTTCGATGTGGAAGCATGTGAAAGGGGCGTCGTGCCCATCATCGAATGAACTAAGCCATGGGCACCACACAGCAACAAAAACAGCAACAGCAGTAATGTAAGAGCATTTTGCACACACGCTGCAATCTCTCAATTTTATCGTTTGCTATCATTTGGGTCATGTCACGCTCTCGCGTTCGAGACATTGCTTTCGAAGCCAGTGTATCATTGTGCCATGCCATGCTATGCTATGCCACTCATATCATTTTTTATTATAGCATTGCACTTTCAAGTGGCTCATCGTTGCTGTTAATGTATTGTATGCGCTTGCTTGTTCATTCTTTCGCTCGCTCCGCTCACGTTGCTCGCGCTATATCACTTAATAGGCTGGTGTCAACCGTTAAATTGATACACTCTTCGCTTAACTGAAGAGAGCGCACGTTTGTCGTTTGATTTAATAACGAAAGTAAATTGAAGGGCAAAATGTAGGTCAGATCGTGTTAGAGACACATTTCGGTAACCGCAAAAGATCACGGCGGAATCAATTGGAGAGAGGATATTTTAAAATGCAAATTTCTTTGCATTGAATGAGATCATATGGTGTTTGTTTGTGTGTGTGTGTGTGTGTGTGTGTGTGTGTGTGTGTGTGTGTGTGCGCGGCCAATTGAGACTAATTTCATGTTTTCTCCTTGTCTTTTCTTTCAGGCGGCTGGAATCGCTGCATTCACCCTCTTCGGATGGATGTTGACCGATACATCACTACTGGTGTCGCTTACCCAAGGGAAAAGTGATGTGTACATTGGCTTGTTGGTATTCGTTGGCGTGGCCACGCTCGTTATCATCATTGCTTTCTTGGGATGCTGCGGCGCATTAAAGGAATCGCAATGCATGTTGGTCTCGGTAAGTTGTCTTTTTAACACCACTCAATTGCACCCTTGATATTGTACTGAACATGGATAGTATGACATTCAAAACATGGTTCTTTACTTTCGTTTAGTTCTTCTGCTTCTTGCTGGTTGTATTGGTGGCCGAGATTGCGACCGGCGTTTATGCATACCTCAATCAAGATCAACTCCTGAAGATAGTACGTACCAGCGTCAAACACTCCATTCAAGAAGACTACAGTGTCAACAATATTCAAACGCAAGCCTTCGATGCATTCCAAAAACATGTAAGCATTTTCATATTGATTCGATTTTTCTTTTAGTTTTGGAATGGCGCGGAATTCTTTTGTCATTTTAAAATCGATATTTATTCAAGAAAATGTTCTCAAAAGAGCAAATTTGCTTTTAACATTGGAAATGTTCTTTAAACACGAAACATTTTCGGTGAAGAAGAATTTTCTTTTTTCGTGAAATTTTTTTTTTCTTTCTTGAAAAATATTTTTGATGACATTTTAAGCGATAGAGCGTTTTGCTTACAAATGGTTAATACATTTTATTCATCCGTTCGATTCAATTAGCTCGAATGTTGCGGTGCTGAAGGACCAAAGGATTGGCAAACCAGTAAATTCAACAACAACACCAAGGCATTGAATTTGGATGTATCGAGTCCGCCGGAAACGTTTATCATTCCACAATCTTGCTGCAAAGCAAACATCTCGGAAGCCATCTGCAAAAAAGAAACACGAATTCCAATTGGTGCATCGAAAATAGAGTCACAGTCGATTCACTTAAAGGTAAATTCATAGTATCACCACCACCACAAAACCACAGAATCTAATTTCCATTTTGTTGTACACGCACGAACAGGGATGCTCGGAAAAACTGGTACAAGAGGCGCAAAACCATTTGCTAATCATTTTAGCGATAATCGCTGGTATTTTAGTGTTTGAAATATTTGCACTGATGATATCGCTATGCCTATGCTGCGCTGTCGGTGACAGAGAAGACGATTATAAATCTTAAATGAGACCAGCTACCAACAACCGAGCAAAATCAATAGGAAATCGTAATGTTGGTACTGTGTTACGATTTCATTCGTCAAGGCATCGATCCACATATTTAAATTCAGCCCATTATTAAATTCAAAACTATGTGACACATTACTGCATTTTCTGTTTTCCAAAATTGAAGCAAAACAAAAAAAATAACTGAAAAACACTCTGTTTTTCTTTCGCATGATTATTCCATTTTATTCAAAAAGAATGCAAAAACAAAATTAAAAGAAAAAAACCCATAAGTAGTCATTTGATGTAAGAAAATTAAAAGATAAAAATGAGACAAAAAAAAAATAGAAAAGATGAAAGCAAACACGAGACGAAACAAACACTTTAAGACTTGAAACCGTCGTCAAAATCGAACGAGAACATTTGAACGAGATAGAAAACTCAGCTTCAAAATCATAAGCATACACACTCACAACCCACACACAAACAAACAAACAAGCGACGGTTCGATTTTTAAATGTTTTGTGCCAAAGATATTTACATTTAAATTAATTGTGTATAAAGAAGAATTATTTGTTGTTAATCGAGAAAAAAGAAACAAAAAAGAGAAATCCATTCATTTATCACCAATGAAATGCACAGAACACACACACACACTAACACACTCGTCAAGACAGCATGGTGAACGTGATCACGAAAGTGGATTTCACGAAACAAATGCATGTGTTCCGAAATTCGTGCAGAATTCAAATCGCGGCTAATCAAAAACACAAGAAAAAAAATGAAAAGAAGAAATCATCAGCTAATAATTTTGTCATTGAAAATTTTTTTAGATTTTAAATGTTCGTTGTGGATAAGCTTTTTCTTTTGGAAAAATCCCTGCCATTCCATACATACCATACCCAACAAAAGAAGGAAAATTCAATCAAATCGAGTCGGGCTCGCAAGCGAAAATGTTAATAAACTTTTTTTTGTTAATGATATTTTTTTCAAGAGAAAAGACTATTTGAATTAACCAATCAATCAATCGATTCTCTTCCAATAACCAACTTTTAAAGACTTTGTTTTTTTAACCACACCCCGGTACATTTCTTTCCTACCAACTAAGGCATCTGTCTATTGATATAAAATATATTCATAATAATTTGTAAGTAAACCAAAAAAAAAATGAAAATGTTTTTGCATCGTTTTTTCTCTCAATCCCTCTCCCATCTCTCCCACATTGAAACAAGTGTACCCACATCGAGATATGTTCGTTTTTTGAAAGATAATGGGAATGAGAGCAGCGGAGAAGCGGCTAATGCACCAGAAGTGAACAAGAATTGAAACAAAAATTGCATTTTTTTATACCTAAATTAGAAATGAAACACATTTTCTTCGATCTGTTATTTTTAGCTTTGTAGCGATAAGTTTTTTTTTCTGTTCTTTTTTTCTCTCTCCTCTACTTCATTTGAGCGAATCAATTTCCACTTTTATCCCATTTCGTCCTGTCAGTTGACTTCTCTGCAGAATTTGTTTTTTTTCATTTAGAAAAAATATCGATTAAATACAAAAGTTGAACACTGTTTTTAGTATAATGCTAACGTCCGCTATGAGGTTGTCAATGATTATGGTCGATTAAATGTTTCATTTGGCTATAAATTACCATAGGCAAACTCAAATAGAAACGTTTTGATTGTGTGAGTAAAACACAACCACGACGTGAATATTCAACATTTTGAGCTTAAAATTAGACGTGTCATCGAATTCTAGCACGATGAAACATTTACTCGATGCGGATAGAGACGAATATATGTGTGCCATCGTTCGTTCAAATTGTCAACCACATTCAAGTCTTGAAACCATTTTTAAAAGAAAAACAATCTAATTTTATCTATTTATGAAAACGAGAGAGATAAGGGTGAATAGATTCATGTTGTTACTTGGATTATTGCTATTCTATTATATTTAACATTATTATTATGTAAAATGATTACTGCATTTGGAGGCGAAATGAAATTAAGAAGCATGAATAATAAACAGATCTAAATAAAATGAAACAGTATTGTGTACAAAACAATGGATTTATGACGAACAACAGACACTGTTGGCTCTTTTTACCTTCGGCGATTGGAGTAACACGTATGGCATGAATAGAGAACAGAAGCCGGATGAATAGTTTACACACAGTATCTATTGCAAATAAATGAAAAACAAAATGACAATTTTAGAGACACATTTAAATTTACATACATACACACAAACAAACAGATTTGCACATGACTCAAATTGAAAATATTATACAAACAGATGAAGTAATTCAAATTGAAGAGTATTTAATTCGACTTTTTCTTAAGTTAAACACACTCCCCTAATTGCAAATGAAATAACAACCAATTGATACAACTGAATTCGTACGGCTAATTAGAGATCAGAATATATACACCAAAATCAGGCTTCATTCATTAACCACAAGAAAAACAAAATACGATCAGATCGATAGAAAAAAAAGACTAAAAAAAATTACAATCGAATTAAAAATGACTTGAACAATTTGAACCACCTTTTAACGATTTTAGGCATTTTGCTTTTTTTGATCGTAATTTTAAATGTGAATATATGACAAAATGAAAACAAATAATTCAAGTAATTTTTACTCTAACGATAGCAAAAATCGAACATCACTTTTAAAGAAGAAAACGCTTTTTTTGAATGCATTTTTTTCGTTCGTTCGTAGACAAAGGCAAAACAAAACATCGACATTTTTTTATTCATTCATCATTTTTGATTAAGATATAAATTACAAAATTACCGTAGAATCCATTCGATGCTTACATCTCTTCAATGTTCAATTTTGTGTCCCAGTAGTTTTAAAACAGCCACCACTCGAAATTCGATTGAGGATGAAACCTTTTCCGGACAAAAAACAACAAAAAAGTAATCAAATTTTTTTAGTATGTAATTTGTGTGTTTTAAAAAAAAGTACAATATCGTAAATGAGAATCATGAAATTGAATATAAAACAACATGATGGAATGAAGCAAACAACAACAGAAAACCATACAAATATTAATAGTGAATAATGTCATACAATTAGAAAGTATTTAATCGACGCAGTTTTAGGATACTTCACACGAAAATAAAAATTATTATTATAATGATATGATAAAGCAAATGGATTCTGATGCAATAGAAACCGATTCCAGTATGAAAATACAGTAGCTGCAAAATGCTCGACATCTACCGAGCCAATCCAAATGTATGCGGAATGTTTTAACGAAATCAAATCACTTCAATAGCCGAATTCAAAGCGAAAGTTACCATGAAAATGAACACAATTACAACAAAACATTCAATGATGTCTCAGCAGCTCCTAAAGCCATTTTCACTTATAGACGAATCGATTTTAGCGTTGCTACTGTAATTTGGTTTGCTATACGTATTTATTTACGATATCAATTCAATTTCAACATTTCGTTCAAATAGACAGAAAAACAAACCAACCAAATTCGATAATAGAAAACGACTGCAATTAAATGGAAAATCAGTTGACTCATTGGTGCAACAGAACATACACACATTTTATTACCAAAATGAAAGCATAAAGAACATATATATCTGTTAAAATATGTCAAATTGAACACTTCAAAGTTCCCAAAAAACAACCTTTAACTGTAAAACTACAAACTAAATTAAAAATAATAAAAAAAATTAAAAAAACCGCACAAAATTGCCATCTTATTTCATTTTTGCGTTTCAGGGGATCAGATAAAGATAAGTGAGAAGTGTGACTCGAACTTATAATTGGTAAGGGAGGATTATGAAACATCGATGGGATATTTACTATCAAATGGATAAATACGGACGAAAGCTCTGAATACCTAAATACGTGATACATGCAAGGTCAATTACAACATGAGTTTAAAAAAGTTTCGTTGTCTTCAATTGCAAGCTGCAAACCAAAATAAAACAAAGAACAAAAGAAATTGTATTCAATCGAATTGCAATATTTATTATTGTGTGCTTCTAATAAAATGAGTTGGTATTACATCCTTTTATCCTCCATGTATTATATTTAGGCCGGAACATTAAATTTCGCATACTTGTCACTGCGTTTAAATGTGGAATTTCTGCCAGCATATTCGATGCCATACACTCCAGTTACCCATCCTTCTGAATTTTTACCGAACATTCTAACTGGTCTTTCATATTCCATGGCTCGTTCTGCAAATTCACAGGTCTCAAAACCATTAGCTGCATGGTACGCATTGTTCCATCCACTCCCTGGGTCATTTACCGCAATGTGACATGGCCAATCCGGATCTATTGGAGCCGTATATATGACGTTTGTAACATACCGAGAACATGACGTATTTGAAACGTCTAACTCCATCTACGGATTTTTCCAGCAGTTGTGTTCTATTGAGTTGCGGTTTCAACTATTTTTGGGCGAAATTATCTCAAAAGTATGCTAAAATGAGTTATTTGTCATGCGAACGCTCAAACGACTACTGTTAATGTACGCACTGATTCAGTAGACATGCAATGGTTACTAGATGACAAATTTACAATACACTCGAGTGCGTGTATTTGCGCGTACATTTCCGGTAGCCGTTTGAGCGTTCGCATAACAAATAACTCATTTTTGTATATTTTTGAGATAATTTCGCCCAAAAATAGTTGAAATCGTTATATGTCTACTCGATTCACAACTACTGGAAAAATCCGTAGACGGAGTTAGACTCCCGTACCAAATATAATGTATTGAAACTCCATATACATGCTCGGAGTATGGTTTGTAAATAGTCCATTAATGATATAATCGAATCCATGCGTATCGCCTAAACTATGCGAATCAACTGAAATTGAACCATATTATAAAAGTCGCTCGAAAATGAAAAACAATTAAGTCGAAAAACTGATTTCTGTATACACCAATTCCAATCAATAATATAATCAAAACTGCTGCACAGATTTTCATCTTGATTACCAAAAATAATTCACTCAGGGAACTTCGACTTCGGATGGTGGGAAACAAAAGTGGACAATTCTATAGATATAAATGAAGGCAACGATATGAGTTTAGCTTTGAGATCGTATTTAACTACTTTCGTTGAAAAGAATAAGTGCAGTTACAGTTCGGTCACAAGGGAAATTGAAGACAATTCTGTCAATGATGTAACAAGATTTAATTCGAAGAAAAATAAATCAATTTAATTTGTTTCAAATTTCGAAGTGTTTTGCCAGAAGATTTTAGAAAAGTCTAAGTTTTGTTGTTGTTCAAAATATGGGAACAATATTAATGTGCACAATTCGAATACAAAACACTGACTATGAATGCCCTGCATTCGGTAGCTATTTAAATAAGAAATGTTACATTCTAACTCTTGTTTGTGCAAAATGGAAACAGTCGAAAACCGAACAAAAGTCCATCGCCTGGGTGGCCAGTAGAGAGAAAAATGCAAAAAATGCCGAAAAATTGGCATTTTTTCGGTCATTTTACACTGTAACTGGCCCAGAATGCCTTTTCAAGGGCTAATGTCTTGGTAAAAGTTGTAGATATTGACGAGCCAAACAAAACCCTATCATTGGTTTTTGCCGAAAATTGGCTGGAAAAATGATTTAGGTCGAAATGTTGCGATATGAAATGGCTTCCGAAATCGCTGTCATGAAAATTTTGATATAAAAACTGGCAGGGTATTTTATATGGTGACTATATGATTTTTTTAGACAAAACCTATTCTTTTGAGGTACATTTTTCGAATCCGGTCGGCACTTTTTTTTTGTGGACAACTTTTTTTTTGGACCAGTCTATTGTTAAGGTTTTGAATTTTTTTTTTAAGTTTTCCAATATACACCACAGGCCATAAGTTTGGATACCCCTATGAAACGTTTGTTTCTACGTTTTTTGAACATTTTCACTTGAAATTTAGTATTGGATATGAAAATATATCGAAATTCTGACCGAATGGATGATTTGGAAGATAAAATTTGACCGGCCTATGGCCATCTTTTGGCCTTTGAGCTGTGGGAGCCAAAATCGAAGTCTTAAACGGGCCATCGGATTAAAAAGTTAAATACGCCATTGGAAAGGTCTTGAAAAGTAGATGTGATTTTTGGTATAAACATCAAAATCGGCCGGCATTTGGCCAAGATATGGCCGTTTGTAATTTTTGGCCGAAATCTTCAATCAGCCATATCTTGGCCAAAAGCTGGCCGATTTTGATGTTTAATACAAAAAATGATACGTACTCTCTGAGACCTTTCCAACGACGTATAGCATGTTGAAATTGGACAAGCGGTTTGAAATTTAAAAATTTTGGGCCAAATTCATTCATAGGGGTATCCAAACTTATGGCCTGTGGTGTATGTTTTCGTCAATTCAAGATTTATAGGAATAATGAGAATCGCTTCAATCCTTGGGGATGTAATTTTTCATAACGATTCGTTTGTTCTTCCTTCTTCTTTGTTTATATGTATTGCATGAGATAACACGAACTGTCAAAGATTTCAGAATAAAAGAGCGTTTTTTCATTTTTCATTTTCCATTTTCATTGGTGATCACGATCAGAAATAAAATCATTTTAGTGTATCTGTCTCTCGTACAGATGTGTATTACATAAATTGCAGATAAGTTTCTTTTGAACAAATTGTGTTGGATTCTACATCAATCGGTAAAAATAAAATTCTTATCATAATATTTGAGGAAGGAATGAACGCAGTTTCTGTTGTTGAGAAAAAAATGCAACTAAGAATGAACAATAATGATAATGATTTTGGAATTTAGATGAAAATGACATTCGGCGTATTGGATTAATACTATCAGTGTGTGATATAAGAATATTCATTGGGTATAAAACCACCATTGAACATGCGGTGGTTTATACGAACACAATGTGCTGCGTTTTCCGTTATGATAGGGCTCCGTTGGATCACACCAGAAACGATATCTCTTCAAGTTTCCGCATCGTTTGATGATTTCGGAAGCACAGCTGTGTGTGAAATTATCACAACCAAGCCCAATTTCCCGTAGAGAAGGTAATGCTTCAACTATCCCAAGCACCTTCTCAATTTTTTCTTCCTCGCTGTTTTGTTCTTGGAGTATTGTAACAAATTTTCGTATAGACGGATGTCTTTCGATGAACGAGTAGAAATTCGGCTCATCTTCATGATACACGCTATAGTTGAAGAAATGGAGCTCTTCCAGTTGGGCAAATGTAAAATGTAATGCTGGATACTTGTAGTATTCATGAACATTAAATTGGACCACGAATTTTTTAACATTCTCCAAGTAGTATTTATCATTTCTTCCATTATAATATCTGTTGTACCAATATGCATGGTTGAATGTGAGGTATTGAAGACTTGGAAGGCCCTCACTTATTGCTTGAAGTAAATCGTGACGTCCAGTGAAAGGTATTTCCAAAATTTGCAGCTGCGGATTAAGGTGTAGTAGTTGCTTAATCTCAGCGAATTTTGCTTCAAATTTTTCATCTCCTGGTCTTACTTGTGGACATATTTTCAAATGCACTAAATTCGGGAAATGATTTTCAATGCTCGCAAAATCAAAAAGGAATGCTTTGGTGTTCTCCAAGACATAATCGAACATGTATGAATTGCTTGTTGAACTTGTCGTTTTGATATGTTGAAATAAAAACGAGAAGATATTTTCGGTCTCTATTTCCAAGTATTGCATCTTTGGAAACAATCTGTTCAACCAATCTCCTTTCAGGCGGGATCCTTGTACATGAACTCTTTCGACGTTCAAAAAGGGCTTTCTAAGGTAGTTCAAGTTACCTTTAACACAATCATCAATTACGATTTCATTCAAT